CTCTCTCTCTCTCTCTCTCTCTCTCTCTCTCTCTCTCTCTCTCTCTCTCTCTCTCTCTCTCTCTCTCTCTCTCTCTCTCTCTCTGTTTTTTTTTAATCCTGCTTTCTACATTGGAGCTCACGAGCCTGAGTGGGACTGACAACGATGCAGGCACTCGAGCCCAAGAAGACCTGGACATAATCACAATCTAGTAATCAACTCACCCATGTCCAGCTGCAGTTGGATCCAGTTTGCACCAGGGAAGCAAAGGGAGCAACTGCCATATCACCACTCACCTACATGACCGCACTTCCGGCAAAGGGGTGACTTAACTCGTTGACTTGTTGACCCGTTGACTTGTTGACTTGTTGACTCGTTGACTTGTTGACTTGTTGACTTGTTGACTTGTTGACTTGTTGACCCGTTGAGTCCTTGAGTCCTTGAGTCCTTGAGTCGTCGAGTCGTTGAGTCGTTGAGTCGTCGAGTTGTTGAGTCGTCGAGTCGTCGAGTCGTTGAGTCGTTGAGTTGTTGAGTCGTTGAGTTGTTGAGTCGTTGAGTTGTTGAGTCGTTGATTGGTGTGATGAATGAGGCAACAATAATCAGGCTGTGGGAATTGCAGAATGCTGCTCCCACAACTCCCCAGCATTTGACAATGACAACAAGTAATTAAGCAATGCAATGTGAGCATATCAATACAAGCTGTGGTCGACTGGCAAGCATTCTCTACGCAGATTAGAAGAGAAGTCACAGTGGCCTTCTCCTCTCCCTCGGTTTGATCAGTCTCCTGTTTCCTGCTAAGAAACTGCGGCCAAGGGAAGAGAGGGGGATAACCAGGCACAAAGCAGCACAGGTCCCAAGACTTGAATGTGTGAGGGAGGGGGGGGGGGGGGGGGGGGGGGGGGGGGAGGAGGGGGGGGGAGGGGGGGGGGGGGGGGGGGGGGGGGGGGGGGGGGGGGGGGGGGGGGGGGGGGGGGGGTTCTCTCTCTGTCCCTAGCATCTAGTAGGGAGCGCTGTTGGCCTTTCCCTCCTTTGGCCTTCTCCTCCGGAAGGCCCGCAAAAAGAAGATAGATGGGACCACCAAATTTCACCCAACAAGGAGTCCGTCCAGCACAACCACTGAGCATCTCCCAACCCTTGCTTGCATCGTCATGCTTGTCGGTGAAGATCCTTCTTTGTGCTGAAGCACTTGATCCCCAGCGTCGAGGTTATCTCCGAAATGACCCGCATTGCGAAATACATATAAAGGGCAAAGGTGTAAGCGACAAACCCCACGAGCACCCAGAACTCATCAAAGAATGGAGTCCCATCCAGCAGCCGGGCGGAGAGGGCATTCGCAAGAGCGATCGGCAGCGGAAGAAGCGCCTTGCACATGCTGGTTTTCAAGCCCCGGGGCTCATCGGTGAGGTGGGAAAGGATGACCCGGCCCACGAGGAAACCGAACGAGAAACCTGCACCGAGAATGAGGAGGTACGGCTGGTTCCCGAGCACATCGTACGGCGACACCCATGCCCAAGCACAGACCATCGTGCACAGCGCGGTGAAAGGGAGGAGCAACAAGACGGCCTGGTGCATCCCGCCGCCTCCCTTCGAGTACTGCACAGCTCTCCGTACATTCGAAATGTTAGAGAACACTGTGGGCGCAACGGCAAACATCATCATGACAACAACCATCAGGTTGTTCAATTGCACCCCAGGGAGAAATTTGAGACTATCCGGCAGATGCAGAGCCTCCTTGTAATCAAGAGTCCACCACGTGGGCCCGACAAGGAAGGTAAGGAAATGTGCCGAATAGGTGAGAAACAACCCCTCGGTGGGCCCATTTATCTCGGCGAGAGCGAGGGTACCCGTATGGAACGTCTCCCAAGTGGCAAAATAGAAGGGTATGGCGGCAACAGCCCACAGCCAAATGATGTTTCGGCCAATCATCAGAGCTGCGCCGAAGGCCAGGCCTTCAAAAGAGCAAGCCAAGGCATCGCAGCCATGGTCAAACAGCTCCCCCAGGGGACTGGAGGAGTTAGTGCGTCTTGCTTGTTTGCCATCGACAGCGTCGAACGTCTGGTACAGAAACAAAAGGATGGCCTGAAACAGGTACACGTACCGCGGGCCCTCGGTGTCCAAATGAGGAGCATATAGGTAACTTAACAAGGTGGACCCAACGACAAAGAAAAATCCCGTAAGGGTGATCAAATTAGGGGGCATCCAGATGGGAAATAACTTAACAACAGCAGCCCAATAAGGTTGAAAAATATACTTGGACATTATCGACCTGTCAATTCCACTATACTTGTACCTTCGAAGCGTCTGCTGCCCATGCTTGCCTACGAAACCCATGGTGGGCGGGGCTCTGTCGATACTCTCGCCTGCCCCCCTTTTCCTTGCCTGTTGTGCCCAGCAATCCCCTTCTCGACAACACAGCGATCCGCTCAAATGCTTCTTGACTTGATTCCAACCGCCGGCGTCTCTCGTGCATCTAAAAAGGAAAGCCAATGGCCTTCACGTTGCCAAACCCCGCAGCAGCAGCTCCTCAGAGACGACCAAAAGCCGCAAAAGTGTTCAGCCACACTGTCATCGAAACAAGGACGAAAGGAAGCAGCTTCCAGGTGAGACATCAGCCGCAAGAGAAGGGGACATATCCATGATATCACATAGGGACGAAGAGATGCAGTGAGGTACCACAAAATGCCTTTGCTAATGGTTCAAAACTCATATAGGTTTGCCACAACGTCGACCCTACACAGTTCATAAATTTACCATGAAAGCGGCAAAACCCCACAGGGCCCACACAAAACAGACCCCGCATTCACAACAAATTCAGCAAAAAACAAGTCACAACAGCTGCTGCAGGCATCCCTCATGAATTGTACCTGTGCCTTGTCGCACTGCGTTACAAGGGTGTGGACTCCTGTGTGTGTGTGTGTGTGTGTGTGTGTGTGTGTGTGTGTGTGTGTGTGTGTGTGTGTGTGTGTGTGTGTGTGAGAGAGAGAGAGAGAGAGAGAGAGAGAG